TCGGCACCGGGAGAGGAAACAGCTGAAAAGGGCCGCGGCGTTATTTTCCATAAATTCCGGAGCACGCGGGCTGGGTAAATCGCTGCAGCCCAGCGAGATTCTTCCCAGAGTCCGTCGCCGGGCTCCATGGGATTTGTTGTTATTATTTGTCTGCCTGACAGAAGCGAGCCTTTCCGTGCCTAAAAGCTCTTTGCGGCGGCCCGGGAAAAGGAATCCCAAATGCTAAGCGGGGCTTTAGTAGTCAAGCTGGAGCGGGGCAGGCGGAGCAGTGCGCTCTAACTCTAACCCCTGCACCACTTGAAGATGTCCTAAGCGGTTCGAGCGATTTTTCTAACGCTTGCCTGCTTGATTTTTCTATTCCAGACGTCGTTTCACATCCCCCGGATGCGAACTCGTACAGACGTGGGAGAAAGAAACGAGTGCCTTACACAAAGGTCCAGTTAAAAGAACTCGAAAGGGAATATGCTACAAATAAATTCATAACCAAAGACAAACGGAGAAGGATATCGGCGACTACAAATCTGTCAGAGAGACAGGTCACAATCTGGTTCCAAAACAGAAGGGTCAAAGAGAAAAAAGTGATCAACAAATTGAAGACTACCAGTTAATGGATTAAAAATGGAGGAGCAGCAACTCAAAGGTTTCAGAACTTTTTTTTCATGTTCAGATTAAAATAATTATTAATAATAATTAAAAAGAGAAAAGACAATGAACCTCTTCTTTCAGAACAAGAGATCTGTATCTTTGGAATTATAGCTTCTTCTTTTTTTTTTTTTAATATTGCTGTAGTAAAATGGTTAAAACTGACAGTTATCCTGAAATCCCAACAAACCAGCCAGTATCATTGACAGACTGTAAAGCTTACACGCCCAGCCCCGAGAGATACATTTTCAATTAAGACACGATTTTCTGAGAAACTTGTAAGTACTTCTACGACTTTACTATTTGAGAAGACTCTTCATGGACACAGTGCAAGAGCTGGTTGGTGTGAGGAGGTCGATGTGGACACAAAATCTGGTTTTCTTCCATTGCGAACTGTATGTTGAATGACTGCTCAGGTAAACCATAGTGAAAAAAAATACAATTACTGTATGGTTTTTTTAGCAATGCATTTATGTCAAAAAGTAATAATAAACCTCGAAGGTACTGAATAAGGATTTCAGAGACATCGGTAATGAAGGAAGCTCTGTGGAGGATCTATCTTGACAGTAAATTTAAAACATCACAAACTAGTGGGGTATAGAAAGGAAAATATTTGCTTGGAGATGTCTTTCGGTTTTATTTTTTATTTCAACAGATGATACTTTGTCATCTGAACTGGTTTTTTGTTGTTTTTTTTTCTCCTGCAGACAGTACAATAGATACTTTTTAAAGGACTCTTCCTATTTTAAACCTCAAATAATCTTCAAGAGTCAATATTTTAAGTCCCCAGATTTTTTTAAGTATTTGACTCTGGGTGGTTAAAAAATCCATTAACATTGGCATTTCTTAACTTTAGGGAAAAAAATAAAATACTGGGAAAAAAATTCAAGAACTTTGAACTGAAATACATTTTCCCCCAGAAGTATTTTGATTTATATAATCTATATTTTGATCTATAGGTAATTAGTCGTTTCTCCTTGTTTGTTGTCTGTTATGAGGCCGCAGTAGACCATTTAAGGATTCTTTTTACAGCACCTTTTAATCCAATCAGTTATTTCAACCAACACATTATTTTGTTTTTATTCACTATAAGAAGCTATCTTGTAAATAAAAAAAAAATCAGCGCACTGTGAAAATGTACTTGTGCACCCTCATTTTTTTTATATTTCTACTGAAAAAAATGAAAACCCAAGACGTGTAGATAGGTGTAGTAGTATTAATACTGTTAATAAAATAGTCACTGTAATAAAACATGAAGAAAATACTCTTTATTTTCCCTCCCTACGTGTATTTCATAAGAAAATAATAATTTATCTGTCTTGTAGTTGAAATACTGTTGTCTTATGTAGCTTAGGCATATATGGTGTATTTTTTCTGGACGGTGTTTATCTGAGGGCAGGCACGCCTGATAACCAGCGTTCCTAAACTATAAATGTTTCGGTAATGTTAAACAGTGGTTTTTCAGCGGGGCTGGGGGCCGGGGGA